AAAATATTCCAGCCTTGGAGCATCACTTTGGCAGCAAAATCACTTTTTTGATACAGTGAAAAATGCAGGAAATTGAATTTCCCAGATTTTCCCCATTTTTTTTCCCATATTTTCCCCTCAAAATGCAGCTGCCTGATCTTTGCCTGCACCGCCTCCCTGATTTGGGTATTTCCAGGATGAAGTGACCTCAAATTTAAAAAACAAATCCAAATTCTCGCTGTGTAAATCTTTTCCCAGCGCGGGGCACCTGAGTTCTGTCTCCTCTCCCAGAGGAAAGGATTTCCCCCAGGTTTTTCCCCAGATTTTTCCCAGCTTTTTCCCCAGATATTTCCCAGATTTTTTTTCCAGACTTTTCCCCAGATTTGTTTTCCAGATTTTTCCCAGATATTTCCCAGCTTTTCCCCCCAGTTTTTCCCCAGATTTCCCCCATTTTTCCCCTCAGATTTCCCCAGATATTTCACAGGTTTTCCCCAGATTTTTCCTAGATTTTTTTCCCAGCTTTTCCCAGATTTTTTCCCCAGATTTTTTCCCCTGATTTTCCTCATATTTTCCCCCAATTTTTTTCTCAGCTTTTCCCCATATATTTCCCGTTTCCCCCCCCTTATTTTCCCCAGATTTCCCTAGATTTTTTCGCAGATTTTTCCCCAATTTTTTCCCCAGCTTTCCCCCATATATTTCCCATTTTCCCCCCATTATTTTCCCCCGATTTTTCCCCCATTTTTTTTCCAGCTTTCCTCCATATATTTCCCATTTCCTTTTCCCCAGTTTTCCCTCATATTTCCCCCATATTTTTTCCCCAGATTTCCCTCATATTTCCCTCATATTTTCCCCCCATTTTTTTCCCAGCTTTCCCCCATATATTTCCCATTTCCTTTTCCCCAGATTTCCCTCATATTTCCCCCATATTTTTTCCCCAGATTTCCCTCATATTTTCCCCCCATTGTTTCCCCCAGCTTTTCCCCATATATTTCCCATTTCCTTTTCCCCAGATTTCCCTCATATTTTCCCCATATTTTTTCCCCAGATTTCCCTCATATTTTCCCCCCTTTTTTTTTCCCAGCTTTTCCCCATATATTTCCCATTTCCTTTTCCCCAGATTTCCCTCATATTTCCCCCATATTTCCCCCCAGATTTCCCTCATATTTTCCCCAGATTTTCCCCCAATTTTTTCCCCATCTTTTCCCCATTTCCCCTCCATTTTTTCCCCCATTTTTCCCGCCATTTTCCATCCCGCACCATGCGGCCCTGGCCGTGGCCGTGGCTGTGGCTGTGGCTGTGTCCGTGGCCGGGGCCGTGTCCGTGTCCGTGTCCCTGGCCGTGGCCGTGTCCGGGGCCGCGCTGCTGCCGCTCCGCCGCCGCGCCGCGCCCGTGCCTGCCCGCGCTGCTCCGCCGGCCCGGCCATTTCAGCCTGGGCGGCCTCTTCCCCCTGGGCACGGCCGCCCCGAGCCCCGCGGCGCGCTCCGAGCCCGCCCGCCTGCTCTGCCCGAGGTCAGCGCCGCCATCGGGGGGGACGGGAAACCGGGGAGCTGGTCCCGAAATGGAAATAGTTCAAAATTATGACAGAAGGAAAATATTATTATGTGTATTACATAACATATGTTTATATGTATTATACATATATAGGTATTATAAATATATATGTTAATATATTATGTATTATATGTCAATGTTATATATTATATATATCATATGTTAATATTCTATATTCTATATTTTATATATTATAATTCTATCTTCTATATTATCTATAATGTAATATAATGTCTATAACAAAAATTAATCATTTTTCCTCCCTGAAGAGCCAATGCCAGCTGTCCCTGTATATATTTCTTTATATTTCTATATATAATTTCTATAATAAAAATTAATCATTTTTCCTCCCCGAAGCCAACACAGCTGTCTGTCCTCTGTATACATTTCCATATATTTCTATCTATAATTTCTATAATAAACCATTTTTCCTCCCCGAAGAGCCAATGCAGCTGTCCCCTCTATATATTTCTATCTATAATTTCTATAATAAACCATTTTTCTTCCCTGAAGAAACCAATGCTGCCCACTGTATACATTTCTATATATTTCTATCTATAATTTCTATAATAAACCATATTTCTTCCCTGAAGAAGCCAATGCTGCCCGCTGTATACATTTCTATTTTCTATATATAATTTCCATAATAAACCATTTTTCCTCCCTGAAGAGCCAACACAGCTATCCCTGTATATATTTCTATATATAATTTTATGATAAATAATTTTTCCTGCCTGGAGAAGCCACCGGCGCTGTGCTGTTCCCCAGGTTGCTGCCCAAGGGGCTGATCAGGGCCCTGGGGATGATGTTCGCCATCGAGCAGATCAACAACTCCAGCCGGGTGCTGCCGGGGCTCCAGCTGGGCTATGAGCTGCACGACTCGTGCTCCGAGCCGCTGGTGGCCCTTCAGCCCAGCCTCCTCTTCCTCGCCCGCCGCGGCTCCTCGGGCATCGCGCTGCTGCGGGACTACACCGAGTACCAGCCCCGCGTCGCCGCCGTCATCGGGCCCCACTCCTCCGACCTGTGCCTGCTCACGGCCAAGCTCTTCAGCTCCTTCCTCATCCCACAGGTAACACCTCTCTGCAGGAAGAATTCTCCCTCCAGAGTCCAGCCCCAGGTGGGTTGGATTGGCCACCAGGCTCAAACAATCCTCACCGGAAACAATTCTGCAAACACATTCCACATGGGGAAACAAGGAGCAGAAATACAAATGGTTTTCTCTTTCTTTCCTCTGTGCTCCTCTATGAAAAATCCCAAGAGAGAGAAAACTGTGCCTGTCACAAAAGTCCTCCGCTCCCGGTGCCATAAAGTTTTCTCTACTCAGTCTTCTATTTCTGCTAAGGTTTTAATAAACCTTTGGACTTCTTTAAAGTGAGGATCATTTCTCCCACAGGTGAGCTACGGAGCCAGCAGTGAGACCCTGAGCAACACGGAGCTGTACCCGTCCTTCTACCGCACCGTGCCCAGCGACAAGAACATGGTGGAGGCCGTGGTGCTTCTCCTCAGCCAGTTTGGCTGGAACTGGGTCGCCACGGTGGGCAGCGATGACGAGTACGGCCGGGGGGCCCAGGCCCTCTTCCTGAGCATGGCCAGCACCAACAACATCTGCATCGCCTTCGAGGGGCTCATCCCCGACGACCTGACCGAGCCTAATGCCAAAACGCAGCTGGAAAACACAATTAAATTAATTAACAGCACCAAAGTCAACGTCATCGTGCTGCTCGCGCAGACCTCGGCAGCCCAGGCCCTGCTGCAGCACAGCATCAGGATGGGGCTGGGCAAGAAGGTCTGGATTGGCACCGAGGCCTGGATGGTGTCGGACATCCCCACCACCACGCCCAACATCCAGAGCGTGGGGACAGTGCTGGGCTTTGTCACGAGAACGGGGACGGTCCCCGGCTTCCGGGAGTATGTGGCCGAGCTCTTCCGCTCTGTCACTCAGGAGGAGTTCTGCCGGCAGTCCTGGGAGCTGAGCCGAAGCACGGACGCCGAGGAGCTGGACACGCCATGCCAGCAGTGTGGCAACGTCACCCTCGGGGACATCTGGCCCATGCTGGAGGTGACCGCGGTGCAGCCGGTGCACATGGCCGTGTACAGCGTGGCCCACGCCCTGCACAGAGCTCTGGGCTGCACCTCCAAAGGCTGTCCCAAAACACCCATCAGGTCCTGGCAGGTGAGGGCAGATTTTTTGGTTTTTGTCACGTCACAGCCAGACTGGCACAGTCTCAGCCCACCGAGGGACAGCTGATGTCAGCTTGCAGAACTGTCACCCTCCAAACAAGAACAACTGTACCAAAATTGATTTTGATTTCATTTCCTCCCCAGCTGCTGCACTTCATGAACACCCTCCCGTTCGAGGTGAATGGCCAGAGCTTCAGGTTTGATCAATCCCACGGCACAAACACTGGGTACAAACTCATCCTCTGGGCCTGGAGGGACGGCACCGTGACCCACCTGCCCGTGGGGAACTATGACCAGTCCCTGTACATCCGTAAGTCCCAGATCCAGTTCCACACCGCAGATAAGAAGGTAAAAATGGCACAGTTCCTCCTGGTTTGTTGGAGATTCGTTCTCCTGGAGGTTCCTGGCTGATGTTAGTTCCTGCCTTTGCCAGGAGCCCACGTCCGAGTGCTTCAAGCGCTGCCAACCAGGACAATTCAGAAGAATAAAAGGATTCAACCTCTGCTGCTATGACTGCACAGACTGCTCAGAAAACACCTGGAGCAGCACAGGTGAGGTCTGGGCAATTTAAAGGCTGGGTTATTCTGTCTCCTGGCTGAGGTGGTGATGAGCTGGGAGCTCTCCTCCACAAGCAATGCCAGGTGTCCCCTCCCTGTTCTGCTCTTCACTGGGGACCTGCCCTGTTGGGCCCAGAAGGAAGGAATGAGGACAACATTTATATTTTATCTGCAGAGCTAGGAGAGAAGGGTGTGATGGAATTCTGGGGGTGTGAGTAGCAGAGAGGCAGAGGATAAAATCCTGGGATGGCTGGGGAAGGCAAACAGAGGCAAGAAATACAAGGATCCTTCGGGGATGAGGGTGGAAAAACAGAGGGTGAACTACCCCAAGCTCAGGAGCTCCAGCACACCTTGGAGGGAGGCAAAACAACACCCCGAGCAGCACCAAAGCCGTGTGACCCACCAGCGAGGAGCTCAGCGGGCTCTCTTTGCAGACAGCACCAGCTGCTCCCCGTGCCCGCGGCACCAGTGGGCGCCCGCCCGCAGCACGCGCTGCCACGACCGCGGCGAGCGCTTCCTCTTCTGGGACGAGCCCCTGGCCCTGGCCCTGCTGAGCCTGGCGGCGCTGGCGGCGGCCCTGAGCGCGGCGGCGGCCCTGCTGTTCCTCAGGCACCTGCAGACTCCCCTGGTGCAGCTGGCAGGGGGTGCCAGGAGCCTCTTTGCCCTGCTCTGGCTGCTGCTGCAGAGCCTCAGCTGCTGCCTGTACGTGGGCAGGCCCGGCGCGGCGCTCTGCTCGCTGCAGCAGCTCTCCTACGCCCTGTGCCTCAACGGCTGCTTCTCCACCTTGGTGCCCAAGGCCCTGGAGATCGCCCTGCGGACGGAATTCCCCCGCCGCGCCCCGGGGCTGCTGCGCTGGGTGACCCAGGGCAGGGCTTGGCTGCTGGTGGCCACCTCCATGCTCGCCCAGGCGTTGCTCTGCTTGTGCCACCTCCACCTGGGCCCCGACTACCTGGTGGCCGACTACGAGTCCCTGCCCAGCGAGGTGCTGCTGGTGTGTGGCACCCAGTCCTGGGCTGCCTTCGCCCTCCTGCACAGCTACAACAGCTGCCTGGCCTTCTCCTGCTTCCTGTGCACCTTCATGGTGCAAACCCCGGCCGGGAGGTACAACGTGGCCAGGGGCATCACCTTCGCCACCCTCATCTATTTTGTCGTCTCCATCTTCTTCGTGGTGGTTTTCACCACGCTCAGGACGGTCCTCAGGGCCGTCACGCAGATTTGCACCATCCTGGCCACCACCCTGGGCATCCTGGCCAGTTTCTTCATGCCCAAGTGTTACATCTTGGTGTTCAGGCCTGATCTGAACACGGGGGATTATTGCCAGAACCCCTCTGAGCAGCAGCCAGAGCAGGACAGGCAATAAACCACCCCCTGCCTCACCTGCTCCTCGCAGGAGGTGGATTTTAAGGAGAAAATCTTGTTTAGGAGCACTCTGTGGCCCCAGGCACAAAATCAGCTCTGAACTGGAGCTGTGAAAGCACAGGGCTCAGCAGAGCAGCAACCTCCATCCTCTCTGGAAGCACATTTCAGCCCCCAAAATCAGCCAGAATTAATTCAGTTAATGAAAGAATCTCCAGAAATTATATTTTACATCCATCTCTCAAGTCTGGCAATGTGAGTCACCAACACCACTCCCCTGTAAACACGTCTGGTAATTTCCCTTTTTTATTAAGCAGCTCCTGAGATAGATCCAGGAATCCTCTCCCCAGCCTTGTAAGAATTGTCAAATCTGTCCAATAAAAGGGAAGTAAAAAGAACATTGTGGCAGGTACCAGCAGCTGTGTGTGTGGCACAAAGGGAGCATTACCCATTCAAATCCCAGCTCACTCACTTCTGCCTTAAACAGGGCCAGAGAAATCATGATTTATAAGAATAAAAATCTCAATTAATTGAAAAGCAGAACCACTAGTGACTGTCAGTAAATCACAGACTGCTCAGCAGTGTCTCCTGCAGACAGAACAGAATTCCACCACTATTTTACCCTGATTTAAGTGTCAATCTTTCAGAATAATTTCCCAAGTCAGGTTTGCATCTGGGAGGAGGAAGGAAGGAAAAGGGAACTCCTGTTGTACAGTGATTTCCCATGGAAATCAGGGACAGACCCATGGAAATGAGCTCTGTGCAAATCACGCTCGGCAAAGGCAAAGCAGGAGGTTCCTCCCTCCCCAAAAACAGGCAAAAATCACCAAAAACTTCAAAAACTTCACAAAAACTTCACACTTGCCAGGCAGAACCGAGTCAATGTCCAGTCACTTCACCACGATTTTTCTTCTCCCCACTCATGCTGACAAGGAACTATTCTGCTCTTTTATTCTTTAAAAATTTTTCCATTTCTACTCTTTTATTCCCTAATTTTTTTCCCTCTCTCTACTGTGCGTTACTGGAATTTAAGCTCAATTAAAAAAATTGCAAATTAATCTAAACCAGTGAATATTTCCATTCTTTAAAAAAAAAATCATAATAAAGAATCTTTTGGTGCACTGCAAAGTTACTTGTACCCATTTTTTGTGATTACCTCCATCCAAAATTATTCCTCAGTGTGATTAAAAAAACCAAAACTCTGACCTGGAGCCTGGAGTTCTTGTTCCTGGAGCCTGCAGGAATTCTTCACAACCACCTGAAATTCTCAGTATTCCTCTTCCAGGGCTGTGGTTCCATAGCAGAGAAGCATTAAATAACTTTTGATCATCATTCCAAAAATAGGGAAAGGAAAAAAATCTGATTTAACTCCACCAGGCCCTGCAGGAAATGGCTGTCCAAAATTCTGATCATTTAATATTCACTTAAATTCTGAGCATTTAATATTCACTTAAATTCTGATAATTTAATATTCATTCAAATTCTGATCATTTAATATTCACTTAAATTCTGATAATTTAATATTCACCGAAATGCTGAGCATTTAATAGTCACTTAAGTTCTGACAATTTAATATTCACTAAAATTCTGACCATTTAATATTCACCTAAATCCTGAGCTAAATTTAATATTCACCTAAATTCTGAGCATTTTAATATTCACTTCAGTTCTGACCATTTAATATTCACTTAAATTCTGAGCATTTAATATTCACTTACATTTGGATCATTTAACATTCACTTCAACCTGCCCATTTCATATCCTCCCCACTGGAAAATGCTGGGATTTGTGGCATTTAAATGATGTTTCACTCTCCCCTTGCTGTGTGATCTGTGCCATCTGCCTCACCAACCTGTGCTTGTTCTTCTCCTTTAAGCTGGAAATTTAAAATAATTTAGGCTGGAAAAAACCAGGGTGTCCTGACAAACCCAAAAGTCTGCACAGGGTGTCCCAGTGATCCTTGTTTCTGCTGGAGTGTCCAAAAATGGGCAATAGTGATGAATTAAATCCCAATGAAATGCTGCAAAGAACTGAACACATACACTGTGGTTATCACATAAAATTAAAAGCTTTTTAGTGTTTAAAATAGCATTTACACATAAGCAGCTATATATTAACTATACAGACACTTGGGTTTTAATACAATATCTACAAAAAAGAATTCAATTATGCAATAGACATTTAACAGGAACAGTGCAGTCCATGCTAATAAGAGGTCACTCTTGGAGTAGAACCAGTTCTAGGATAGGTGATAGTCTGGGTTTTCATTATTTAAAATCATGTCACTTTGTTCCTCTACTGTACATAAAATTCTTTACATGTATTTCTAATCACTGATTAGAATTAATAATTTTAAGTCAATCTTATTACAATCCAGTTAAATGCAAAACAAAACAAAACAAAAAAACCAAAACAATGACATCAACCCATGAGCTGTCAAGTCTCAGGAGGGGAGAGAACAAAAATCAGAGAGGACAAAAATCATAGCAAAAATCAACATCTGTGCATCATTGCTTGCCATCCAATAAAACCTTTGGATAAAGTGTCCAGGGCACTGATTCCTTGGAAAAGCAGATTTATTAACAGGAGGTAAAAGACACACCAGCATGCTTTTAAGACTATTTGCCAAAAAATTTCCTCTTCAGGGTTCAGATATTGGGTGGAGACGCTCCCCCTGCAGATCCTGCATCTTGGGGTGGGGAAAGTCACCCCAAAGTGTTTCCTCCCCCTTTTCCAAGATCCCCCAGACATCCATCCCTGCTGCAGGGAGGCTGAGCACTGAGCTCAGCTGCAGAATAAAAATCCCTGCATTTTAAATTTAGTCCAATTCCTTTGGGCTCCTGTTCTGAGGGTGTTCCCATGCCCTGCACAGCAAAGCTCTCCCTGCAGCCATTCCATCAAAATTGAATTTCAGAATTAAAGAAACGCTGGGTCTGCAGCACTCCAGCCTCCAAATTTTCTTCCCCCTGGCACAATTCCCACTGTGGGCAGGGAATGCTGTGCCCAGCAGGGCAAAGCTGGAAAGACACAAAGGATGGAAGCCAAGGATGGGATTTGGGAAATCTCATTTTTCTTCCCTCGAGGAAACAGATCTGGCAGAGATTCAGCCCTGACCTTCAGCCCAGCCTCTGCACAGGGAGGGAAATGCAGATTTTTGTGTCACTGCTCAATATTGCACTGTTCCAGAGGGGCAATGCTCCCTCCTTTCCCTGCACTGGGGGAAGCTCCTCCAACCTCATTTCCTCAACAAACAATTCCCACATCTGCTGGGGACACACAACCTCGTCCCAGGGCGACCCACGAGCACACACATTTAAAATAAAAATAAAAAAGTCATTTTTCAACATAGCAGCAAAGACCAGCAAGACACAGAACAGTTTCTGCCAACAGCAAAACCACGAGACAAAACCAAACCCCCAGCAGGTGTGTAAACTGCAACACTTGGAAATTAAACATTTCCAAGTGAAAAAAGTTCAGCTCCCAAGCTTTAATCCCCTTTTTGGAAATATTAAAAGGAGATTTTTTATTTTTTTTTTTTAAACTCCAGCTCTCTGAGTTCTGCCTTAAAACAAACAGGGCCAGAGAAATCATAATTTATAAGAAGGCAGAAAAAAAAAAATCTCAATTAATTGAAAAGTAGAACCACTAGTGATTGTCAGTAAAGTCACAGACTGCTCAGCAGTGTCTCCTGCAGACAGAACAGAATTCCACCACTATTTTACCCTGATTTAAGTGTCAATCTTTCAGAATAATTTCCCAAGTCAGGTTTGCATCTGGGAGGAGGAGGGAAGGGAAAGAAAACTCCTGTTGTACAGTCGAGCTTTAGGCAGGGCCTCTTTTGGAGCCATCCATAGGTAGTGATGAAAGCTCTGCTTTCAGAAGCCTTGGGCAGCTTTTTTTGGGGGGAGGTTTTAGTAAAGAAAATTAATTTAGAAGGCCAGAAATGGGCTGAGTGAGAGTTTCCCAAATTCCTGGCTCCCTGGGGAAGGAGAGATTGAGTCTCCCATTCCCACAGACATCTGGAGTCTCTGACAAAGGGAGGTGGGAAAAAGGAAAGAAGTGAAAAATCAGAATGGACATTTTGTGAGTCAGTTTTCAGGGTGACAAATGAGCTGTGTGTGTACACAGATGTTCCTTCTTCACAAACACCTTGGCTATTTACCCAAAAAGAAGCTTCTTACCACTGAAGAAAATGCTTATTTACAGTAAAAAACTGATTTTAAAGCACCTGTCCAAAATCCTGCCAGCTGTAGGGATCTCACAAAAGGATTTAACTGAGGAATGGCCCCATGGTCAAATACCAGAGCAGCTCCTGGCTCATTAAATGAGCCACGTGGGAGCATGGCTGTGCTCACCATACCTTAAAAAAGCTTCTTAAGCATCCCTGAAGCTGCTTGAATTTACTTTTACAGCCTCAGAGCAGAAAACAGCCAGAAATTAAATCCTGGGGATATTCGACAGCAGAGCTCCTCAGCAGGAGGAGGAGTCAGGGCT